AGAATCAATGGACTGTGTGTGGACCCGCACACCCCGAAGTGCAATCCAAAACCGGCTGAAATGGCCTCTCACCTCCTATCTGCGACCCTGCAGGGCCACAGAGCTTGAAAAGATCCCCACTGGGTCAGGATAACCTTCCTCTTGGGTGAATGGCTTCACGATATATCCCCAATATACTGATTCCACCTCTCCTGTAATATCCTCAAAGGTCAAATGAGCACCACCCTCCTCATAGAGCTACTGACATCAGGAATGGTTGGATAGAAAATAGCCAGTGGAACCACAATTTGAAAAGAGCACAAACAGGCCTAAATGCTCCCTGTACCTTTTTTCTAAACTCTCAGACAAGCCTTATAAATTCTGGACTTTGAAAGGATGTAGAGAAGAGAAGACTGCACATAAACAGGGATTTGAGTTGGGATCCACCCTGCTCATTTGACCTTTGAGGATATTACAGGAGAGGTGGAATCAGTATATTGGGGATATATCGTGAAGCCATTCACCCAAGAGGAAGGTTATCCTGACCCAGTGGGGATCTTTTCAAGCTCTGTGGCCCTGCAGGGTCGCAGATAGGAGGTGAGAGGCCATTTCAGCCGGTTTTGGATTGCACTTCGGGGTGTGCGGGTCCACACACAGTCCATTGATTCTGCATGAGTGGAGGGAATGTGATACAGATCACTGGACTTTCTTCTGATATGTGCACTGTGTGCAGGGGTCTCACATGTGTTTTATTTATACTCATCTAGTTCCATCACGCACTATTTCGTCCTTTTACATGCTAATGATTGTGTCACTATGTTGCATTGATTATGGGCTTAATGTGACTTTTTCATATAATTTTCTTGTTTTAGCACTACATCACTTTTTGCTTTTTATTCAGCCCACTTGCTGTAAGTGCAAGAGCTTCATTGGTCTTTCCCCTGGGGGAGTATCACCATGCTGCCCTACTGAGTATGGTACTCTGCCTCATTGAAGTCTGTCTAAAGTCATGGAAAAAGGAAAGATGAAGAGGTCCTGCATGACACATGCCAAGTCTAAAGGCATCACAAACATTTATATTTTACATTTATATTTTAGTATAAACAAAAATTATAAAGACACAAATTGGTGCTCTATCGTGTGCTAGTAAGATCAAGGTTAACTCCAATAATAAGATGGTAATCATCCCTCTAAATAACCAGGCACCTAAATCATTTATTGGAAATAATATCTTCCTTGCTGGCTTTTATATAATGTTCAGTATGTGTACCCAAGCTAGATCCACAGACATGCTTGAATATGGTTGTTTCAAAGATTATGTGTCCACTATTCACTCAATTTGCTCTACAGCAGGAGCCACTCCCTTTAAAGACTGAGGTATAGCACTAAATACAGTAGGTATAGAATTACAGTCCTATAAAGCAGTTCCTTAGGTTCATACAGTTGTGATCACAATAATAGCAGTGTGTTGAAAAAAGTGAATAAAGCTCAAAATCGTTCTAATAGCTTTTATTTCCATACACACAAATGCATTGGGAACACTACACATTCTATTCCAAATCAAAACATGAAGAACAATATATCAAATATGTGTTGTTCCTCTAAAAAAATTGAAGAAAAGTGAATATTAGACTGTTCAAAAAAATAGCAGTGTTTGCATTCTTCTTTACAAACTCAAACATTCACTATATAAACTGAAAAATGAAGATTTTGCTTTCCTTTGAATCACTTAATATTTAGTTGTATAAGCACTGTTTCTGAGAACTTCTGTACATCTGTGTTGCATAGAGTCAACCAACTTCTGGCACCTGTGAACAGGTATTCCAGTCCAGGATGATTGGACTACATTCCACAGTTCTTCTCTATTTCTTGGTTTTGCCTCAGAAACTGCATTTTGTATGTCACCCCCACAAGTTTTCTATTGGATTAAGATCCAGGGATTGGGCTGGACACTACATAACGTCAATCTTGTTGGTCTGGAACCAAGATGCTGGTGTGCACTGGTGTGCTTGGGGCCGTTGTCTTGTTGGAACACCCATTTCAAGGGCATTTCCTCTTCAGCATAAGGCAGCATGACCTCTTCAAGTGTTCTGATGTATTCAAACTGATCCATGATCCCTGGTATGCGATAAATAGGCCCAACACCGTAGTATGAGAAACATCCCCATATCATGATGCTTGCGCAACCATGCTTCATTGTCTTCACAGTGTACTGTGGCTTGAATTCAGTGTTTGGGGGTCGTCTGACAAACTGTCTCCGGCCACTAGACCCAAAAAGAACAATCTTACTTTCATCAGTCCACAAAATGTTGCGCCGTTTCTCTTTAGGCCAGTCAATGTGCTCTTTGGCAAATTGTCACCTCTTCAGCACGTCTTTTTTTCAACAGTGGGACTTTGCAGGGGCTTCTTGCAGATAGCTTGGCTTCACATAGGCGTCTTCTAATTGTAACAGTACTCACAGGTAACTTTAGACCTTCTTTGATCTTCCTGGAGCTGATTGTTGGCTGAGTCCTTGCCATTTTGGCTATTCTATCCATTTGAATGGTAGTTTTTCGCTTTCTTCCATGTCATTCAGGTTTTGGTTGCCATTTTAAAGCATTTGCGATCATTTTAGCTGAGCAGCCTATCATTTTCTGCACTTCTTTATATGTTTTCCCTTCTCCAATCAACTTTTGAATCAAGGTACGCTGTTCTTCTGAACAATGTCTGGAACGACCCATTTTCCTCAGAATTTCAGAGAGAAATGCACTGTAACCAGCATGTACAACATTTGCTGCCTTCCTTCCTTAAATAAGGGCAATAATTGCCTCCTGTTTTTCAAAGAATGAATGACCTCACTAATAGAACTCCATACTGCTATTATTTTGAACATGCCCCTTTCAATTAGTGATTCAATTACACAGAATCAGCAGCATGCATGTCATGACTGTTGGGTCTGTTGGATTTCTATTACTCTACTACACCTGCTAGTAAATTATTTGCCATGTAGAAATATCATTTCTACCAAAAACAGTGATTGATCAAGTTAGTGATGTCTGACTGCTATTATTTGAACACAACTGTATATGCACTATATTTTGTCAAAGCAACTGGAGTCAATGGAAATATATGGGGTACCAGATTCCCAGGATAATCCATTGCCTGGAGAGCCAGCCAAGATACTCACATATAGAGTATACAGTATACTAGCTACCCATTAACTCTAGATTCAGACCTGAAGTTTTTGGAGAGCATGTAGTGGGCTGGAAACCTGGTCCTCTGTTTGGACGTAGTGAAATGTTGCCACCACTGCACTCTTTTAGTTGTACAGGTTGCTGAGTCACAGTACCTGTATATATGCAGCTCACATGCCCATCATGAATACATCAGGCCAAGTGATACCTGATGCATTTCCTCCCAACAAGGACTTCCCTAGAGGGCATGCAACTGGTGTTGAGGATAAATACACCCTCTTCGTACTGCCCCTTTCTTCCCACTCTCACACCATGTGTCCAGTCTTGTGTTCCAGGATAACAAAAACAAATCTTACCTCTGGTTGCTGCTCATTAGATTTACTGGTCTGAAACATCACTGTCTGAGCTGGATAGGAAAGGGAACAGGGAACAAAGATCCTTCCCTAGCATATTAGCTTAAAAATAATATACATTTAAAAAGGTTCCACATTAATACACTCTATGCTAAATCATATTTCTAAACAAATTGTACCAAAATCTTAGATAACATAGTTATCAATACATTACAATGCATTCCTCCATTGATTTAACAAATTAGCAATTGAAGTGTTGGACACATTTTATCACCTCTGGGATGTAAAATAGGTTCCTATATCATATTTTATTTCACAATATTCTGTATACTATACAGGCACAATATACTTATATTACCATAGCATATTTGCACTCAGAGTCTGATTACTGCTGTAGGACATACTAGCCAAAATTAATCTACCTTCCAAAGTTCCACCCATATGCACCTAATATACATACCTGGAAGTACCTCTGGACCCAAAACAACGAGGTGTCAGACAATTTGGCAACATTTGGGACTGTGAATCTTCAGGGTTATCAAATGTGAAATGTGTTAAAATGTTTGGAGGCCTGCCAGCTCTATGTCTGGTGGTTTTTTCCAGCATAATTAGTCGCTTAATGTCATCTTAACCACTTGCCTACCGGGCATTTATACCCCCTTCCTGCCCAGGCCAATTTTCAGCTTCCAGCGCTGTCACAATTTGAGTGACCATTGCGTGGTCATGCAATACTGCACCCATATGAAATTTTTATCATTTTTTTTTCAAACAAATAGAGCTTTCTTTTGGTGCTATGTACTCGCCACTGGGTGTTTTATTTTTGTGCTATAAACAAAAAAAGAGCAAAAATTAAAAAAAAAAATACTTTTTTTCTTTGTTTCTATTATAACATTTTGGAAACAGGTAATTTTTCTCCTTCACTGATGTGCGTTGATGAGGCTGCACTGATAGGCAGCACTGATGGGCACTGATAGGCATCACTGATGGACACTGATGGGCACTGATGGGCAGCACTGATAGGTGGCAGTGATGAGCTGGAACTGATATGCAACAATGATGGGCACTGAAAAGTGGCACTGATGGGCACTGATAGGAGACACTAATGGGTGGCACTGCCTGGCCACACTGCTGGGCACTGACTGGCGGTACTGCTGTGCACAGGTGGGTGGCACTGCAGGGCACTGATGGGCACATGTGGATGGCACTGCTGGGCACATGTGGGCTGCACTGCTATGCACTTGTGGGCGGCACTGCTGGGCACCGATCATCATATATGTTGACGTCTTAAGCATTCCCTTCACTGGAACTATGGGGCCAAGCCCAACCCCTGAAAAACAACCCCACACCATAATCCCCCCTCCACCAAACTATACGCTTGGCACAATGCAGTCAGGCAAGTACCGTTCTCCTGGCAGCCACCAAACCCAGACACGTTCATTGCATTTCCAGACAGAGAGGCATGATTCATCACTCAACAGAACACGTCTCATCTGTTCTAGAGTCCAGTGGAGGTGTACTTTACACAACTGCATCCAACGCTTTGCATTACACTTGGTGATGTAAGGCTTGGATGTAGCTGGTTGGCCATGGAAACCCATTTTTTGAAGCTCTCTATGCACTGTTGTGCTAATCTGAAGGCCACATGAAGTTTGGAGGTCTTTAGCTATTGACTCTGCAGACAGTTGTCAACTTCTGCGCACTGTGCGCTTCAGCATGCACTGACCCTGCCCTGTCATTTTATGTGACCTACCACTTTGTGGATGAGTTTCTGTTGTTCCCAGTTGCTTCCACTTTGTTATAATACCACTAACAGTTGGCTGTGGCATATTTAGTAGCAAAGAAATTTCACAGGTGGACTTATTGCTCAGGTGGCAACCTATCACGGTGCCAAACTTGAATTCACTGAGCTCCTGAAAGTGAACTATTCTTTCACAAATGTTTGTAGAAGCAGTCTCCTTCCTGCCTATTATTATTATTATACAGTATTTATAAAGCACCAATAGTTTCGCTCGGCGCCTATGTGCTTGATTTTATACACCTGCAGCCATGGAGGTGATTGGAACACCTGAATCCAATGATTTGGAGGGGTATCCCAATACTTTTTGAAATATAGCATATGTGGCCAGAAATTCTATCCTGTAACTTTTTCTGGTCTTGTCCACATAATACCTGCAATATGCATTCACACATCAGTAACTAGACTACTCCCTGAGTTAAGTCATCCAAACATGGATTCAACCAGTTCAGCAGGGACTGGTCTAATTTTGATCCATGGAGGGGTAGGGGTTGCATAGAAGTTGATTTACCCATTTATCTCTACATAACCATCCTGTCCTATTTTCTCTGCTTGATTAGCACTGCAGGCTTTAGCATGCAATACTGATCAGTGTATTCTGTTGGTGGGGAAGTCTCCCCACTGTCAGAATACAAGAGCTGAGTGGGGAGGATTCCACAATTCGCATCCAATGTGTGGATGAGGTATTGATCTATGGGCTGCCTTACACAGTTCGTAAGGTATGCACTTTGCACCATATAACCAAGGGGAGTAATAGAGATGCACTAGTTTAAATATTTTTGCAATATGCACCTTTTTGGTGTTGAAACATCAATTTTTATGTCCGACATGTTACCTTCTTATGGCTGTCAAATTTACTTGGCACCATCTTTTTAGGGATTTTATACAATTTGTGAAATTATCTCTGAATATTTCTTTAATATCTATAGAATCATTTTAGGCTGATTGCAATATTTGGTGAGCAATCCTACCTTGTCATAGTCCCTCTGTCTCTCATTGTTTAATGTTTCTGATTGCTTATTACATTTTACTCTTTCATAGGCCTCCCATAGTACTCTATTTTTGTATCACCATCTTTTTACTCTTTTTCTTACTTTAGCTATCCTTTCAAAATCATCATCTAAACTACATTTCCTGTGAATCTTTATTTATTGCCCATAAGGAATACTCCTCAAAACGGGTTTAAGATGAATACTGTTTGCCTCAAGTATACTGTCCCCTGTTGTCTTTTCAGTGTTTTCATGATTTAAAGTTGTTTAAAGATTTACATTTTTGTCTTTGCAGCTTTGTAGGTCAAAGAGAGGAAGGTGCTTGTTATTTATCTCACATGGGATTTTAGATTGCAATCATTACTCTTGTCTTTTAACATTTGAAATTCACCTGTCCATAAGATAAAAATATTGTCTATGTACAAATTCCATGTCAATACATAAACATATATATATAGTGAGGTCATCCCTTGACCAGATGTCTTGCACCAAACCACCCAAATACAGGTTGGCATATGATGGAGAACAAGTTGTGCCCATTGCCATCCCCTGCATTTGGGGGATAGTGGGAGCCCCAAAAGTGATTCCATTGTCAAGGGTCCCCTTGGTTATCAGAATTCCTTCTGATATTAAAAGGTGAGGGCCTCCAGGACCTTTTTAAACCAAGCTGCATCAGTCAAAATTCTCATAACCATCACCTGCTATTTCCATGGAAAAAATCACCACATTCCACCCCCCACCCCACACAAAGATTTAATTACTATATCCCACTTTTCCTTTAAATTGCCACTGGTCGTCCTCTGTTGCATTGTAAAATTATAATTTTGTGTCTTTGGAAAGATACAAACAAAAAAACAGACAGCATGATTCTGGGACAAGGGGAGTGTTTGTTTTTTGTTGTTTTAGCCATTTTTGTTCCAAAATGTCTAAATTAATATCTAGCTATGATGTGTGACCCTCCTAAAACTGATTAAATAGTTCCAGTCTGCTTTTTTCTTATATAGTATTTGTTTCAATAAAAGTTTTCTTGCAAAAAACGTATGTCTTAAATAACTGCATTGTTTTCCATGTTGGTCTCAGGACAAAAGGTGAGTTACTTAGATATCAATTGATACTCCTGATCCATAAATTCTAAAGATGTCAGGCTAATAATCTGAAAGATTCCTATTATACTCTTTTCAACAGAGATGATTCTAAACCTGTCACACTTTTTGGTGGTTGTGCTATTGGGGGTATCTGATTTCTTCCAATAGGTGGTCACTAGGTATATCTATATATCTTGATGCATATTAAATTAAATTTTCCTCTAAAAAAAGATTAAGGCGTCAGACATAGATAAGAAAGTGTGTGTTCCTATATTTTCAGCATTATCATTAGTTATGCTGTCACCCTCCCTCGATTTGCCTTTCTCCCCATGGTGCTATTTTTCTGTGATTTTGTGTTCTTATGAATTATTCTTAACCTCCCTATTATGTGATCTGCTATTATAGCTGGGTTTTTTTTTTTATATCCACGCATGTTAAATCTTTATCTGAGAACAGTTCTGTAGCGGGGGCGGACTGACCATTTGGAAACTCGGGCACTGCCCGAGGGCTCGGGTTCAGAAGAAGCCCCATGAGATGCCCCTGGTACCTTTTTCATAAGCTTTTTTGAGTTTGGGCAAGGACACAAGGGCCCCATGATCCCCTATTTTCCGGGGCCCCATAAGTTGTCAGTCCGCCCCTGTTCTGTAGGGAACCATTAGAAAGGGAATCTTTGTCAATCATGTTTCTCTTTTATAATTGTGTTACTTTATTTTCTCCAAACAGTTTTCTTCTTCTCTTTTCTGTATTCTTGTGAATTCAAAAAAGCTATTTTATTCCACTCAAATTTACTATACAGCCCCCTAAATTCTATTAATTTATCATTCAAATCCTTGTATCTTTATCAATAATTACAAGTCCTCCATCCTAGTACTGGCATTACAAAATCATTATGTTTTTGCTACTGATATGATTTTTTGAAAATTCAGGAACACTTCCAAACATAGCCCCTATGTGCATATGTATTGTTCAATATGCTTCTACAAAATGCCTTGTTCCTCCATATCGTAGATCTATTTTTAAAATGTCTACATAGTATGAAAAAAGATACAATAAAATTACATTGTTTAATTTTCTAATCACTATTAGGGATAAGCCAAATATACCTGTGTTCAGCTCGATGCAGGTTCGGGGAACATGACCAAAGATTGGATCCTAATTCTGAATCCTGTGAGCGCCTGTGGGAGCTGAATATTAGAAATCAGTCATGGACATTTTCTCAGCTAATAGGCAAGAGATTGACAAACAAAATTCAGGGGGAGCTGAGCTGGGCATTATTAACATGATATAATCTAAAAACCATCCATAAATATTGTATAGACTCCCTGTACATTATGCAAACATTTGGCCACCATATTAGAGGAAGAGATGAGTCATTTGTTATTCTGAAAAACAGAAGCTAAACTACTGCACGCTATATAAATACTTTTACTAGGTAACAATGGAAGATAATGTAGCTAAATTAGATTAACATTTTTTTAGAGCAAAAATCAAGAAGTAGAACTGATATGTTGGGTGGTATGTACTCATTTTTAGCTATAATTCTTTGTCAAAGGAAAAGAGAATTCAGATTTCATCTTGATTAAACAAATAACAGTGTATTTTTTGAGACTGAAGACTGAAAAATTGTACACATTTGCAGTAGATTTTTTTGATAGTCTACTGTTTCAGAGGGAGAAGACAGGCATAGTTCATGTCCTAGGAAAAATAGATGCAGGTGCATTGTTCACAGTGGGAAAACCATTATGAATCAAATCTAGAGTCCAAATACAAGTGCTCTGGCTCTAAAATGTCCTCCATCCATTAGAAATAGTAAAAATGAAACAGAAGAGCTGACAACTCCTGAATCCATATAAACTGCTTTATTGCTTACATAGTAGTGAGATCACAGCCACAGCTGTGGTCAAGACTATCTGCCAAAACACGATAGCACTTCTTATCTCACTACTATGCAAAGCAATAAAGCATTGTATATGGATCCAGGAGTTGCCAGCTCTTCTCTTTGCTTTCTGCTATATCTATATTTCTGCTATATATAAGCCTTTCTTGGATAAACCACAATTTCTGAGGGAGAGAAAAAACATTGCACATGGAAATAAAAATTAATGTACTGTATATTTCTAGGAGACAGAAGGAAAATGTTACAGATTTACACCACAGATATTAAGCCTGTATGCACAGACTTCAATTTCAGAGTGATTGAGTATGCATATTACATCTAGATATACAAATGTCTTAAATCAGAGACTGACAAGGCCACAATTGTACAGTTTAGAACCACAGGGGTTAATTTATGAACATACTGCAGTTTCTAAGTGACTGGCATATTGTATTTAGAAATACAAATTTAGTGTCTCGATTCAGAGACAGAAAAGGGAAAAAATTACAGTTTAGCACAACAGCCATTAAGCCTTTTTTGGCAGTCAACAATTTCTTAGAGACTGAGCAGGCATATTGCATCTGGTAAGAAAAAAATTGTGGCTATTAGTTTCAAATTTGCAGCACACCTTTTAAGCCTTTCTTGGATAGGGCTATGATTTCTGAGAGAGAGAGAGCAAGCACTTTGGAAAAATTGTTTTTAGAGGAATGAAAGTGGAATTTTTTAGTACAGTCAACAGTTTAGTACCTTAACTTTTAAACCTTTTTGGAAAGACCAAAATTGAGGAATTGAGGAGGCATATTGCCTGTAAGGAAGAAAACGTTAGTGTCTATTTGTTTTAAATTTAAAATAAGATTTGTAGCACATTTTTTAAGCTTTTATTGCTTTTATTGGATAGGCAACAATTAGAGAGAGAGAGAGAGAGAGAGAGAGAGAGAGAGAGAGAGAGAGAGAGAGAGAGAAAGCACTCTGTATCCAGAATTTTACTAAAATATGATTTGTTTAGGAGACTGAAAATGGAAATCTTGCACCAATAATTGCACAGCTATTCAGCACAACTTTGAAGCCTTTATTGATAGGCCACAATTTTTGTGGGAGAGAGTAGATTGTATGTAGAATTTAAAAAATAGTATCTTGTTCATAGACTAAAGATAGAAAAATGTTACAGATTTGCGCCACAGATTTTAAACATGTATTGTCAGGCTTCAATTTCTGAGTGAGGAACATTGTTTCTGGAAATTGTAAAAAATGGTGTCTTTTTGTTTTAAATAGAAAAAAAATAACCAATTTGCATCACACCTTTGAAGTCTTTATTGGAAAAGTCACAATTTCCAAGGAAGAGAGCAAACACATTGCATCTGGAAGTAAAAAAT